CTAAACCAGTAATCACCTTAAGTGGGTTCTGTTGTCATAGTGTAACAGCTTGTACATGTATGTTACATGTAATTACATATATTTAAAAGGTAGACCAGAATGATTGTAATGCTCGAATAATTCTTCAGTTTTAACCAATTACAAAAAGCATGGGGGATAACTCTTACACAACTTTATGTATGATATGAAATGATGTATATCTCTTTAATTTATATATTTACGTGTCAGCTTAATTATCCTACATACGTATGTGTCATTGACCTGGCAAAGTCTTTTACAACAGGGTACATCTAGATTTTACATATATTCGTGATCGATTCTGCCCTTGTCAAATACCTGTGTTTCGGTTACGGTTTAACGTCACGTGGAACAGATCTAAAGTTAGAGCTGTGTTCATATAGCCGGTAATCAAATCTTATTTCTGATGAACTGTTCATGTCAATATCCCCAAACAGTATGTAACACAATCCGATTTCTTATAAACGGTAGATTCAATATATATAAATTGGATTTGCCTATTAACTTATATATATCCCTATCGAGGATAGACAAAGTCAACAGATTTAGCCCTTAACGGGACGAGCGTTACCGGCGATTGTGGACCCGGAGTGTAAGGAGGGTTAGCTATCAAAGGCTGGGATGTAATCCTATAGCGAATATATCAAGATTGTCAGCTTCAAAAAGCATGGTCAGCTTTACGAAATCATCACGAATTCTTCTTTCCTGAATTTTAAAACAAGTTGAAAAAAACACCTAAAAGTGTTTAAACAGTTATAACTTTATAAAATAATGATTTTTACCAAAATGTAAATACGTATGAATATTCGATCTCAATTTTTAATTTCATCAAAGAATGCTTACTTTTGAAGGAATAAGCTTGACTGTTTATTTTGAGTGTAGGACCTGGGATGGAAGGGTGTTTCCTATACGGCACTATTTACCTTCTCAGTTCACCTTGATGACAGCCCTCCGTCCGTCGGACTGGTACACACCATACCTTAGGTTACCTGCCCTGGCGGCAACATCAAAGGCCACACTCACCCTGAAACGGCGACTCCACTTTAAATGCATGTTAAACTCTGCGCTTCATCACGGAATAAAGCGAATTGGCTACGGTAATTGGAAGAGGGCGTGCCTCTTGGCTGAGCCGTACTGGAAAATATCGTTTTAAGTACATCTGTACAATCAATGATTGGTAAGCCGATTTAGAAACCCCGTAAAATATGCAGCGAAAGGCATAACTACAGTAGTTATATTAACTCAAAACGACCGCGTGATTCGTCCAATTTCAGACGAGGTATATGGTCACTTTGATGTGAAACATGTTCAATTTAAAGAAGGACAATCAATGGGCATAGCAAATATAGATGTGTCTGCTTTATAACCTTTATAAGAGGCGACTTATATGTGAGACCATGTTAAGTCGGCAGCTTCCTTCATTTTACAAGGCAATGACAAGGCCAACGGTGCCTTCACCGCATATTTAGACTCATTTTAACGAGATTCCTTAATTTGTTTGATAGATTATTTAACTTAATTAACTTCTTTAATTAGTTTGATAAAAGATTTAACTAAACTTTTCAATTAGAAAGCAGTGCTGAGGTTATGGAAATCAGCAACTCTTTCTAATAGAAAAACGTTCCAATGAATATTGGGTCTAGACTATTAATTACTTTTGCGCCCCCCCCCCCCCCCCCCTCTTCTNTTCCTAGCGTGTCTCCCTTCACAGTTTTGGTTGGAAGTTGAAGAATATTTGATTTGATACTACTTTTGTTGTCAGATAAATCACAGTGAAGTAAGATTGTACTGTACATGTATATAGCAGACTCTAGGTTGGCTACTTAAAATGACCAATGGTGGCTTCACCACCTAGTTAGCCTCATGTTCATGAACTTCCTTAACTCTATCCAATCAACGTCCTTAATTGGATAAAATGGCTACTTAAAAATGGGTCTTTCCGTTTTATCGTCTATTGTGTTATGATATATGTATGTATTGTGAGGGCGTTAAATTAAATTAGCATCCGTTTTAATTAGGAGCTTATGTTTGTTGATAATCCGCAAATTCATTGTTTTCACGTGTTTCGGGAACAGCAAAAATCGATTATTTATGTCAATGGCATGCATTTCATTATTGTTGTGATTCCAATATGTCCGCTATCTCAGATTAACGCGAGCACCATTGCAATCTCACTTAGACACCTAAAGCGTCTAACGATACTATTATAATGTAGCACACCTGGAACTGTCAAAATGTTTAATGTGTCTTAATGTTCGAGTTCCTGTGGGCTAAACACACGTACTTACATGAAACGAAATTGCTCCCGAAAGCGGATCGTCGCGGTTTTTGCGGTAAACCGCAGCGACCAAAGACATAAGCCAAGTACTCTCAACCAATGTTGAGGACAGCGGGTCCCGTCACAGTGGAGATAAACCGCAGCGACCAAAAACATAAGACCAGTACTCTCAACCAATGTCGAGGACAGCGGGTCCCGTCACAAGTGAAATTAATACATTCATCGTGTTCAAGTTCAAATATTTCATTTTCGTGTCAAACACATAGTATTCCTAAAATCACAATATCTATTCATTTGAATATAAAATATGTCTAGCCAAAATGACTTATTAGACACGTTATAAGAACAATCACATTATTTACTATCTCCAGACATGTAATGGTTTTAACCAGTCTTTGTAAAAGTCTTAAAACAATTGTGCTTGATAAAAGGGCCTATTCCTAGCGACAAATTATATATCCCCCACCCCATACCTGCACATATGATTAATATACGTATACCGCTAAGGCGGTGGACGTAAAATCTGTCGAGAAAATGTTGAATACTTTAACGCTTTGAATTAATTATCCCACAAATTGCTGCAATTATACTACGTCATGTCAATGTTTGTTTTAGATATTTGACCTCATGTTACACACAAGAGTGTGTCCGAGTAAACATAAAATCTGATTAATCTGAATATGTTAATGCTGTACACAGTTGACAAAGAAAACGATAGTTATCACATAAATAATTCAAAATGGTAAAATAGGTAAGAAAATACAAGTTTTAAATAAGTCATCTTAACCCAAAAATAATTGCATTAAATTGTATTTTCTATGAGGTTTTATGTAATATATACCTATTTCATTATTTGTGAGGCGTGTTTAGTGTAATAATTGCTATTATAATGTTATAATGTTAGCTGTGAGCGCCGAAATGGCAGCTCGGCTGTATGCTCTCCAGGAAGCTGAGAAAGATGTTTGCTGGTTGCAAAGGCCCTATAACCACGGATAATAATTTGTGAACCGCTTTGAGACGACCTACGAACTAGGTTGTGATAAAGCGGTATATAAGAACCTCGAATTATTATAATTATTATAAACAGAGGTGTTCAAATTAATTTTACACATTTAAGGTGTTTGGACCAATTGAATGCGATGGTATATGCTCGTACTTATGCTCGTATTTCGAAAATTGATCTTTACTCCTAAAACGAGTAAAATAACTCTGAACAACTGAGTTTAGGTCATATTACAGCTGTAACAAATTCTCTGGTCCCTGTGGTTTGAGTCACCAGACGTTCACACCTGTAAACCAACATTGCCACCCAGGCATCTAAACATGGCGAGTTACACGAAGAACACGAGGGATTTTCAAACATCTCAAACACCCTGACTAAATACTAAACTAGGCACAGCGATCCTTGTGCTGACCCCAATTCGCTTGCTCGTTAACCCGACCCCAATATCACTGTCAGCAATCGCCCGTGTCTGATGCTATCGCATGATCCCTTAGATCCGGAACTGTCATTACCGTCATTCGGTTCTAAAATTACTGACCCCACAAAAAGACATGGCGGCGTATTTGACCTCACGATTACCCCGTACATCAAGCGGCTGTCAGCGCGATTTATGACTTGTTGTTCCGAAAATAATGAATTGTGTTTGATTAATCCCTGCCAGATAAATGACAAGTTTTAATGCTTGATGTAAACCGTTATAGATTGAAACAAGTAACTAGAATGGATCTGTGAAATAGAAATGGCATTGTATTTAACCAACACTGAATGAAGGCAAACTCGTTAGAAAACGCATAAAATTACGTCACGTGGTGAAATAAGAAATGACTTGTGCTACAAACGGAAAACATTTCTGGATCGAGATAAGGGTAAATATCAATAAAGAATGTTAATTTCACGACGTCACAGCATACATGTTTATGTTTACACAACCATGTATGCTAGGACAAAAATATGGACATAATACATTTTAAAGCTTGAAGTTTTAATTCAAATTGTTAATTTATTAACGCTATACCATACATACGCATATATTGGCTTTGATGGATATGCTTTTTAATGTTTCTAAGGGATTTGTCTCCCGTTTAGCGGTGATATCTGTTATCTCTTTTCGAAACTACATTATATATCCAGCACGCGCTGAACCGGAAGCTCATTAAGGAAGTCATACTATACATTTGTTGATGGATTACTTTAATCCATATAAAGTTCTAAGGACTACACGATTGATACGATTGTTTAGAAACCAATACATTATTGTAGAATGTATTTGATAACTACATTGTGTCGCGTATTTTTACATATAGGCAAAGTGTCTGAGGCAAAGAGACGATTTCCGTGTGGTTCTGTTTACAAACGGGCAGATTTTGAGTTTGTATTCGATTGAGGGGATAGAAGGAAACATTTTTTCTCTACATTGAAGTTATGATGAAGAAATCTCAACCCTCTTGGGAAGATTTTTGAATGTAATTGTTTCGACAAACCTTGCCGTAACATACATTGTACAAGAAACTCACAGGTTGAGTACACGTGCCTCAATGTCGATACACCATTAATCCCAGACAATTGACTGTTCTAAAATGAATGATTTTTTTTCTTTAACAAATATTCACAGTCAATCTCTGTGATATTTTTTGTTCCTATTTATCATGAGATCGATTCACTTTTAACTAATTTAGGTATTTCGTTTCCTCTATTCCGCAGGTCTTAAATCGACAGATCTTCTCGAGGAGGCGATACCGAGAAATGGGAAGCTTCCGGTTGGAGTCAAGGTCATTTACGATACTTCAAGTCATGTCCATGCTTTTGAATTCAACGATGAAACCACTGATGTGCAATTAAGGTCACAGCCTCTCTTTCACAAATGTTCCAAGTTTCCGGAAGAATTCTCCGTATTTTTTGTTATCAAACATAAACGTATATTTGGGAAAAAGGAGTGCGTTTTGAGAGTGAGAAACCAAATGACGTCTATAGTTTCTATAAATTTGACGAATAAGTATATAATGCTTGTGTATAATAGTCGCAGAGTGAAATTTAGGAATACAGTTTTACTTGACAACAAATGGCATACAGTTGGATTAAGTGTAACAGGAAGTGACGTTATAATGACGACGGACTGTCGGAGCAGGAAACGGAAACGTTTAAAGAGGAAGTTTCCTGCAAATATTCCGTTTCAAAATGGGACATTCCAATTAGCAAGCTGTAGACCAGGTTCTGGTGTTGTCAGGGTAAGTATCTTATATATATCCGACATTAAAATGAAAACATATTCAATTACATTTTGTTTATATGCATATTTGTGTTTCTGAATACATTAATGGGAAAGGAAAACGTCCAAGCTTTTGAAATAGTGATCGAACTGTAACTAAGTTCAATAATGTAATAATCAAAAAACTCCGGATTGAAGAGATTCTTCGGTATATCGAAGTATACATTTTATCTACTGACGAAGCTATTATTTGTTTACCCCAGTCTTTAAAATTCTCTCTAATTAACAAACTGGAGGTTTATTTATTTCAATGTTTTTATTTGTGTGATAGTAATGTTCACGTACATATATACTACTACAAGTTTCATTTTACGAATATCGACTTCCCGTATCATGATATGGTCATTTGACAAATCTTTGGAAACAACTGTTATTGTAGCATTGGTAGACCATTGCTTGGTACAGCATTGTCAGCTTTTGTGTGTCTTTCCATGGAGCACAAACATTGTACACTTCATGCGTACATTTGTTGCTTGTTTGTGATATATTCCATAATATAGGCCTCAATCACTGCATACAAAGCCGAACATTTCCTGGTCTGACCAGAACACGGTAGAATCAGTGCCTGTTTTGGTGCATCTTTGCTACTCGTAATAATATATTTGGTGGGTTTCACCAAGGCGGCCGGGTTCGATTCCCCGATCGGACGTGAAAAGTTATAGGGTTACCTGGCCCGACTACGCGCGTTTTCTCCGGGTACTCCGGTTTCCTCCAACACTAAGACCCCCCGCCCCATCTCCCGCGCTTACATCCATGCCAACAAGAGTGATTTATATACATGTAAGCTGAAATAACTTGTTTCGTAATTGTTGTAAAATAAAAAAAAGATTACATTTTAAGATATTTACTTAACTACGCAACTAGTATAATTTTATAAGTAAGCCTTACCAAATGATCAATAAAAACGGTACAATCGAGGCGAATAACCCATTCAAAATGGTGCTTAGCCTTGCTACGTCAGAATATGACACTTAAGATAACGCTACTAATTCCAGCACTGTTTTGATACAATATCATTTAAGCCTGTGTCATTAAATGTTATGATTTTCACGCTGAATACTTTAAATTGATCTCGGAGACATAAACACTGTATTAAATGGGAAACTTTTTATATTAGTCAGGTTTTGTATATGAAGTAAAAAATAAATTATACATTACCTTTATTTAATTCAATTAAAAAGAAAACGACTGAACCTATATGGATAATGGAGGATTATTACAAACTGCATCTTCGTAAGGAATACAAAAAACTATATAATCAATGACCTTACTATCAAAGGACAGCGACATAAAAATGAGTAAGGATACAGGGTGGCTTTTGTGGTTTGTTAGGATTCTCGAGGTCAGGTTACTATGTCGTGACCTTGTCTGTGTATCCGTCCGCCGATCTTCTTACTGTGGTTTTACACATATAGCTCTTTGTTCTAGAAACGTAATCCTTCCGCAATAAAAAAAATGTTATGATGATAAAATCAGGTTTATGAGAGATAACGTCCTGTAAGTTGGTTATACCACGGAATTAGATTATCTCAGTCCGTGGTTATACAGAGTCGTGCGTTTTGATCAGTCCAGAATAGTAGATATCTCACTCAGCGCACTAATTACGTCACATTATCTGTCATTCACATTAAGCCACGCCCATCTTTACATAGCCACGCCCACATCGTAAATCCTTTACTCAACCCTGCTGTCGACCTTTGGTGACTTAAATGACACTTTAGACATCAATTTGTGTCTAATTGAGGAATAATTACAGGCTTTTGTGGCGGATGATTAAATCTACCCAGGATCCATGACAAACTTCCGGCGGCACTTGGGTGTTATGGTGCTGACTCAGAGATAGATAACACCGCGAGATTTCTCAACGAGATTACAGAACGTGATTGTCTGATGGCGTATCTGTTGACTTTTGTAACGGAAAGGCGGCCTCAGAGGTCAACAAAGAAAAAAAACAAGAAAAAAATAGATTTATAAATGAAAGAGCTTAATGTTATGCTTCATTTAAAACTTAATTTCTCTCCAAGGATCGTTTGTTTGTGATTACGGTGTACACATTAATGTGAGACGGTGTGCGGCATTATTTGAAAACTCAATTAAAACCTTATCACGTATCAAACATTTAAATTAATCTAAGGACGTATACTTTCATACATTGATAGGTGTCTCCTAACAATAAACAAATTTTTAAAACATTTTTTAACGAATGTTTTTTTGGCTTCAATAATAAGTTAGCTGCATATTTGAAACTCATTAATTAGAGAATGCTCAAGGATAAGGATATATAAAAGTCTTATATAAACCACAGTTATATAACGTGTATTCAATCTTAACACTCAATTCAAAGGCATAATGTGTCAGGTAGCATATTACTTTATCTTTGAAAAATGAGTATGGTAGTATATATCCTTTACTCTAGCACAAATTGCAAGTTTAAAGGGGCTGGTCGGGGGAAAAAATACAAAATAAATGGGTCTAAATGCGTTCTCTGGCCTTCCAAAAGTTATACGACGGCAATATGATGGTCGAGTTCTGCTTGCAATGTCCAGTTTTGACCACTGAAATCTCGGGGAAGCCCCGCGTAAATTTAGCGCAGATCTATTTATAATATGTCACCTGGTTGTTTCGAAAGTGAGACAGTGAGGATAACAACAATAGCACGCCGTCATGTGCCAGGTCGGACTCAACTAGCGGACAAGACAGCAATACTATACGTAAATAATTGTTTTAAAAGCTCATGTATGATGCAAGTGTTGTATTTCTACCTATCTGTTGTTGTTATATATAACGGTATTGATCCCTCGTGCCTGTCATGACTTTTGCATGCATCTTTTTCTTTCGCCGCGATGTTTACATTTGGCCTTGTTGATAACGCGCGTGCGGTAAAATTACATCACTGATCTGGATCAATTGTGAGTTTTAGACTGTCAGGTGACGATTTAGGATTTCTTTAATATAATTATATTTTTTACTCTTAGGGAGTGAATTTCAGCAAAATTTGAATCGGTATATTTCATAAGAAGGTATTTTAAACATGTGTATGCCATTTTAGCAAATATGACATGTTTTCCCCGACCAGCCCCTTTAATGTGTTAGGTAGTATATAACCTTAACTTTAACACAAATCACAGGCATAATGTGTAAGGTAGCCTATGACCTTTACTCTAACACAAAGCATAGGCATAATGTGTAGGTAGCATATAACCTTTACTCTAACACAAATCACAGGTATAATGTTTAAGGTATCATATAATCTTAACTCTAACACAAAAAACAGGTATAATGAGTCAGGTATCATATAACCTTAGCTCTAACACAAATCACTGGTATAAAGTGTAAGGTAGCATATGACCTTAACTCTAACACAAAAAACAGGTATAATGTGTAAGGTATCATATAACCTTAACTCTAACACAAATCATAGGTATAATTTGTAAGGTAAAACAAATCACAGGTATAATGTGTAGGTAGCATATAACCTTAACTTTAATACACATCACAGGTATAATGTGTAACGATATATGAGCGTAGCATATCACATTTACTCTAACACAAATCACAGGTATAGCGAAAGAAATCGACTAATTGATTACAACACACACTGTCCTCCATTTAACAAAATCTGAAAGACTTTGCGACACACTCTGGTGCCTTATAAGTACTAAGTTTGATATAGAACGCGTGCATCCTTTGTCATATTACAATATAGGTTACATACCTTGGAGGAATCTTTCATACAAGTTATATGAATTAGATTATGAAAATTTAAAATTGCTTTGTGTGACATTTTTGTTGATAAATTTATGAAATTATGTCATCGATAAAATCGTAATTAAACGTGCGTATATCTGAGAATGTATTACATGTATACTGTACCCCAGTCAAGACGTGCTGGAATTTGATCATAGACACACAATGTCTTTTTATGTTTCATGTTATTTTTGTACATAAGTATTTTCAATCATAAATAGACCTCTAAGCAACTAGTAAATAAGTATCTTCAAATTGGAGGAAATACAGAAATAATTATAGCAAGTACAATACCTACTGTTTCTTATTTCGGGTACAATATAATAAAAAAATATAAAGTCATATAATAAAATTATGTCTTTATACAAAAATAACCGTTTCAATTTGTATTTATCGCACCGGGTATTTCTGGCATTTCATTGGTAATAATGTAACACGCCTTGTATGTATTATTTTTTACTTTTTATATTTTACATGAATACTTATGTATTTTGTGTGTTTTCGCAGGGTATTATAAAGGACCTAGTGTGGGTTCCCGGGGCTGACGCGGTGAGAAGGGCGTGTCCACCACGAATACCGAAGCATACACACATGGACAATCGACTGCCGTCTCTACCAGGTAGTGTACATATAAATATACATACATTTGGTCGGGTAGGTCTAGTGTTTAAAACACTCATGCCTTCCACGCAGGCGGCCGGGATTCGATCCCCAAAGTCGTCGTACGCATGGATGTTCAGAGAAAGTGTTTTTCTCCAACAACCCAGATGGAGTATACATTGTTCTGGGGTGGATGTTGCGGTATCTGTGCTGTAACATTCAAGTGATGTGTCACTATAAATGATGCCGTTGGAAGCACGGTCCCACTACAAACAGAACACAATACATCTCCAGCACACACGCAGGCATACACACATAGGGACGTATTAGCCAGGTGGCATAGGACTAGTAGTTAGCGCCTGCTAAGGGAGCTCATGCGAATTCCTCAAAATTGTATTGAATTATGCATATGCTAATTGTATTAATTGTATATTTATGTACGTAAAGCGCTTTCGAGTGGTTGAATTGTTAGCTAGATAGTGCGCTATATCAAATGTTGTATATTATTATATTATTATACATAGTTCATACATAAACAACCATAAATGTTAAACATACTTCTATAGGACAGTGGTCGTACACCTGAACGTATGGACATAGGAAAAGACATTCCATATTTTTATTTTTTTACCTCCAATTTGAAGAGTTACAAGAACGTATATACAAGTTAAATGATAGTCAATTCATGATTAAATAGACTTATGTACAAATATAACATGAAACATGAATTGTAAAGACATTGTTCGTCTATGATCAATTACATTTTTATCGAAGACACAATTTCATCATTTTGTCAACAAAAATAGTACAAGTCAACAATCTAATTCACATAACTTGTAATGTAGGATTTCCTCCTAGGAGTATGTGAATTGTATTGTAATCCGACAAGGAGTTCAAGTAAACATTTAGCACTATATGGAGAAGAATATGTGCTAGAATTACTATAAACTAAAATTAAAACGAATTTGTGTGGTTGTAGATCTGTACGGGATTGCCTCCCCTGGCCCGCGATGGGAGGATTGTACCTGGATGGATGTTGGTAGCGTGGCGTACGATCTCCACTCCGAGTCCCTGAAGGTCTGTGTCAACGGCATTTGGCAACATCTCAGCGTCACCGTCCCAGGTATTGTAATTTAGTTTTTTCACTTTGGTTATATATAAAATCCTTCCTCACCGCAGACCTATACTGATGAAAATCTAACTAACGTAAAAAAATGACCAAGTCTGGCATTCTGCTTACACTAGCCCTCCACCACTTCGTCGCGGGTTCGAGACCCACGTGGGGCTGTCGCCAGGTACTGACCGTCGGTCGGTAGTTTTTCTTTGGAAACTCCGGCTTTCCTTCACCACCAAAACCTGGCACGTCCTTTAATGACCATATAGCTGTTAATAGGACGTAAAACACAAACAAATCAAACCAAACTAATATTGATTAATTATGTAATCTTATATATATTCGTTCTCATGATTAAATCAAGATTCATTTTGCATATGCTAAAACCATCTTCCTAGTTATGCATCGACATGATCAAATGCAAACAATTAACACAAGAAATAGTTCTCAGTTACGCTAGGTGCCTACACAATATTTAATATGAAATTTCTAACAGGTACTGAAATTTCTAATCTAAATTATAAACGGTAAACAGACTGTACAAACCTTGAGTAAAGTGATCTAGAGATAGGTGATAGAACCTTGATATATCTTGCTATTTTTCAAATAACTAATCAGCTGATATATCGAAACAAGGTTGCAGGGAAAGTAAAGCATTGCATAATTCAAAACGACATTTTTTTATTTTTTATATCAATTAAAAAATAAATAAATCCAATCTTTTTAATTGATTGTTAATCAAACACTTACATATTTCCAGAAAAAGAGCCAGTACCCAAACGTCTAGACTACTTGGAACTTTATCAGGACTTGCGTACTCCCGGGCCCTCAATTGACGTTGAGGTATTTACTATCCCGGGGGAGGGGATGTTTGCGGTGTTCGCTAACTCCGGACGGAAACGCCACGATGTCTCCGCTTTGTATAAATGGACGGACAAGTCCATGACCTTGTATCAAAGACTGAAAACCAACATGGCGCAGGCATGGGAGTTCTTCACCATAGATGGCGGTGTAAGTGTTTTTGCTTTTACATATCCGCATATTCGCTCTAACAATCGAAAATGAACTCATTTTTTTTTATTATTCATTGTACCCGTAATATATCCGCAGAATCTCGTAAGACCTGATCCATATATGTATATTGTTTCTCTGTCCAGTTTATGAATACGAAAGTCCAGAAATAATGTTTTCCTGATGAGCTGTCCGGATTAAACACGCTTCTCGATTTCTCTCTCTCTCTTTTCCCGGATTTTGATACAAATAGGGATTGATAATTTTTCAAACGTTCATGCTGATATGACTGCAAATCGGTTACGTCCTTATTGCACGAAGCCTGTTAGTGTTTCATGTTCGTGTTATATACAGATGTAATCAATTTGTGTTCATAGCGGCATGAATGCTAAAGACAACCCTGTTCACTCCCGATATTAATGCCATCTGATTTTTGAAGAACTATGATATTGGTTGTTAAATATAGTCCCATGAACGCAATTAATTTGAGCTGTTTTACGCCCGCTTTGCGAACCAAGATCTCGGTTATCAAAACAGACGATACACGTTTGCAACTTCTTTTGGTATATGAAGTGTTCATATAGGGACTCTCAGTATATATGTAATAATTTATGAATCAAGAAAACCTTATTAAAAAATTCAACAAAAATGGTATTTAACACCTTTGTAGATCATAACCAGCTATTAGCGATGGCTTTGTCTTATCCAAAAAAAACAACAAGGGGCAGTGTCAATCTGATTAAAATCATCTGTCACATGGCTCCGTTCATTTCGTACTCCGCCAAATCCGGCAGATGATTTAAATCAGATTGGAGCAATGTATAATTGCAAGGCTGTACAATGTCTAGAATGGGAAGAAGGTTGCTTTAAAGACGGCAAATTTATGATCACATGCCATCACAATAACAGTGCGTGATGCTAATGACGCTAAGTGGAGTTCTTTTTAGCTGTCGTAAAATAAAAATAAAAAAGTTTTTATATTGATATCTTTGATAATTCATATTTCAGGAACGACTCGCTTTGATTACATTAAAATGTTGTAAAACTGGAATAATCGGTTGAATATTTTGTTCTAAACCAAATCAAAAATGAAAGGCTTTTGAATCGTCACCAAGGGAAAGAGTTGTCGGAAACAAAGTTAAGAAATCATAATCGAGATAACTTATGTGTACAATATATTACAGAATCGACACGTCATATTGACTCGGATTACATTGTCAAAAATACAGCATTTATTATATTTTCAGTTTTTCCTTGCAGTTGCTAACTACGGACAAGACGATGGTATCCTGACAAACTCAACTATCTTCAAATGGCAGCGCCGGAAACGGAAGTTCAAGGAGTACCAGCAACTTCCAACTTACACCGCGCGTGACTTTGAATATTTCAAGGTCGATGGAACACATTACCTCGCAGTTGCTAACCATGCCCAGGGTATGTACATTACATGTACCTGTTGCCATGTCTGTTACGATGATAATAAATTAATCGAGGACATATTTGAGATGTTCTGAACAGAATTCTACAGTAAGCCTTTTTTTTTTTTTTTTTTTTTTTTTTTTTTTTTTTTTTACTTTTTTACTTTAAACATATTGTAATGTCCAAAATAAGTACAAAGTATTTGGTACAAGTTATAGCAACTAATGAAGCCATTTCCTATCAACAAAATATTTCATATATAAACAAGCGATGACATTGACAATACATTTCAAATTCAACAATTGAAAGAAGTCAATTGCATGTAAATTGAAATAAACATATGTATACAGTTTATGTTCCAAATCTTCAACTGGATTTTATGAAGGACTGCACATGTTCGAATACATTACAATTTACATCCAAAACCAGGTTTTCTTTGTCAAAAATTAACATTTTTAAGCTAATTTGCATATTTATGTTATTAAAAGCTTGAGGCATTACTGCACGAGCATTTGAGTAACATAGGCACTCAAAAAAGAAATGATACGGATTTTCACAATGGTGCCAACAATTTACACAATTAGTATCCTGAACTAAATTAATGCGGAAGAGATCATCTTTAAGAGAGCTACATTATTGTCTTGATCTAGTATGTATACGTGTATCTATTCCGTCTTTGCGTATTGCAGAGTTATCTTCTCTTGGGAGCAGGTATTGATTGTTACGTCATTGGTTTGTGCGAGAAAATTACGTCGTTTTCTCAAAAAATTATGACGTTACTCTCACAAACAAGTGACGTAACAATCAATATCTGCTCCCAAGAGAAGATAACTCTGCAATACGCAAAGACGGAATACTTGTAAGAAACGCTATTGTAACATTTGCATTTACGAGCGTTGTAAGGGAGACAATTCTTATACAATATGTGGCACACTCATATTATCTCTTGCTTTGCTACGAAACGGTTATAACGCGATAAATATGCGGGTATAATATCATTTAACACGTGTTGAGATTATGCACGTACATATGACTCGTATCAAGGCCTTTGCATGTTCATATACACGTATACATTGCTACAAACACACATTTCTTTCCGTTTTGTAAACCATGTTATTGGTAACTATTTGTTCAGACTTGTCTGGAGTTCAGCTTCCTTGTAGTAGCTAGCTTAAATCAAACGCAGACGGTGTTTCAGATTATAGGGTCATTTTAAAACACAATTTCACTTAAAAAGCATGATGTATACACGGTAACATGATTCGCCACTCGGTCACCTTAACACGTCAACTTGGGGAGACGCTATTTAAAAGAACGAGTAGGCACATGATCGAAATAAAAAAAATACGTTCCAAGCGTTGCTATATCTATATATATTCCGTCTTTGCGTATTGCAGAGTTATCTTCTCTTGGGAGCAGGTATTGATTGTTACGTCACTTGTTTGTGAGAGTAACGTCATCAATTTTTGAGAAAACGAAGTAATTTTCTCACACAAACCAATGACGTAATCCTACCCTCGTATTTTAATGAATATAAAATAAGATCCGAAACTGACAGTGTTATCGGTTAACATGTATATCATCGTAAATCGCATGTGAAAATTGTGTATATTATATATATTTCAGGTAACAGTCAGACGACGGAATCTGTGATTTATGTGTGGAACGTCACGAGTCACGTGTTTCAAGAGATGCAGCGTGTGAACACCGTGGGGGCGTATGATTGGACCCACTTTACAGTAGGGGGTTACACATTCCTTGCCTTGGCCCAGGCTTTTGACGGTCTTACCACCCAGCTCGACTCGAGAATTTACATACTCCAGGACGACCAATTCTTCCTTTTCCAGACGATGGAGGTTAGTGCAGTTTTGTAATTTTACAAACATCACCAAACTTTAACTGACATTTTTTTGTATACATTTTTACAAGAAAACAAGATCGAAATCCTGACGTCAAAAACGTATCGTCCTTTTGAGCATGTTGCTCCGTGTTGAAAAAATGATGCAGATACGTGTATGTCTCTCCGAAACATGAAGGAGCTAGGCTAATTATTATTTGTAATGTAATTTTGATACCGTCATTTAGTGATTGTCATTTTTATGAAAATGTAAATTGTTGTTCATGAAATGTCACATTGGAAAAAAACGGTTGCTAACAACTTTTCAAAAAGAGAGAAAAACCTAATCGTTCTTGTGAAGATTATGTTTCATATGTGTAACTATAAATCCTTGTATTCCGCCTTTGCGTATTGCAGAGTTGTCTTCTCTTGTGAGCAGGCATTGATTGTTACGTCATTTGTTTGTGAGAGTAACGTCATCAATTTTTGAGAAAACGACGTAATTTTCTCACACAAACCAATGACGTAACAATCAATACCTGCTCACAAGAGCAGATAACTCTGGAAGACGCAAAGAAGGAATTCCATCACCATACTACTACAGTGTAAGACAGTTCGCATCTTATTTCCTAAATTATATAATTATACATACATCGTGGGAGTATTGGTTATAACTGAATGTTGATACAGTACACAAATCCTCGAATCTTTATCATAATTCCTCATACGTCATTTCCGGTACAGACTAACGGAGCCACAGACTGGGAGGTGTTTACCATCAGTGGAACTGTCTACATGGCTGTCGCGAACGCCTACAACTACGGACCTCAAAACTTCTCTAAGACAAAGACACACTACACTAACTCTACAATATACAGACTGAACATGGACAAACGGGCTTTCGAGAGGTTTCAGAACCTCGGCACGTACAGGTGAGTGATAGAATCGGGGAAACGTTTTTCTTTACATTTCTTAAAATTTTAAAAGTTACAAGTCACTCGACCGAATAGATAATGTGTTAATCTAGTTTATGGTACACTGTTCAAGCCTTAAGGGACTAGATTGCAGGCGACATGGTACCGAGCTTAAAAAAAGGGGGAACAACGTCAGCAGTAGGCATGGTTCAGATATAGACATTGTACTGTCAGATCACGGTTTTTATGACGTCACCTAGTGACATCTATGTTCCAATGAGATAAACCTGCTCTGGACACAGGAAGGACTGTTCAGGTTTAACCTTATCAAACGTAGATATTCGTGTTTTGTCTAGGTGACAGTTGTTGCCTTTATACATTGCACATCTGTAGACAAAATTGCTAAAAAAAATGCACGCGTTGATCGTCAGGTAACTAGATTGCTCTCTGTTGTTTCTGCCATTCTTAAGGTGACAGTACAACATCGGCCTTTGCATACAATCCTCAAAGTCTTAAACATACCATGTACTGGACCACTGTTCAAGTATCAAGCCCTAGTTTTATGTACGCTCCTCAACTTATAGAAATAACATTAGTTGTTTCATAGGAAAGCATCACTGGAGCTAAGCTACCCAAGTTACGATAAGGTTTCCCTAACTTTCTTACATGTAATGCTTTTTCCTACGAAATATTTTATGACAAGGAATTTCGTTAGTTAGGGAACGTTTACGAAACCGAGGCTTGTATTACAATACTATCTGGGTTGCTCAGCAACTTTGAAAGCAAATTTACTAACCCAATAGTCTAAGAGACTCTTTCATATCCTGTTTTTGTTTGTATCATTGGTAATTCTTTTCATCTTTTGATGATCAATTTTAAGACATACTCGAGAAAATCGCCATTTAAGCAGACATTTTAATCGTGTTGTCTTGCTATTTTAGTGCTGTTGACTGGGAATTCTTCACTATTGGGGACGACAAGTTCCTCCTGGTATCAAATGCTCAAAATGGCGGGGAAGAGCGCGAGCTACGCAGTACGATGTATCGTTGGCAGGGATTGGACGGATTCGTTCCCGTCCACGTTATGGCAACACTTCCTAACTCAGACTGGGAGGTTTTCACAGACGATGACGATGTTTACTTTATATACACTAACGCAAAGGGACGTAACTCTCAGATACTCAAGGCAAAAATGGTTTTATAGTTATCTGAATACAGCAAAAGGTGGCATGCAGTTATACAGTACCAAAATCGGCTGATTCTAAAGGAGGCAAAGTGCAAAGGGAGGTAACCCAAAAAGAAGCTTCGACATCGAAATTCTCATCTTCAAGTTGTCACATTTAAACGTTTTGAATGTGTTATTGATATATATCAGTTAAAGAGAAGTGAATGTGCAATTGACGTTTTCTGTTTACAAAATGTTATTTAGGTTCGTAATTATGTAGAACGTTTATCTGACAACTAGTTTAACCCTTACACCCCTATGTAACTTGAGTAGACTCTACCATGCCTTGATCTGGATGAGTCCATAATGGTCTACAGTGGTGAGATGGTTAACACCACACTATGCTATGTACACCAAGTTTACGTTGTATAAGGCTAACACACTTAGTATCTTTATACTTTTTGAAGGCGGAAATAAAAACCAATCAAACGGATAAACCGTATTGTGAAGGGAAAAATGGAGAACAACCAACCGTTTATGTGAAAAGGGGAAATACAGACCAACCTATCAAATTGACCGTTTATGTTCAAAGGGGAAATACAGACCAACCAATCAAATTAACCGTTTATGTTCAAAGGAGAAATACAGACCAACCAATCAAATTGACAGTTTATGTTCAAAGGGGAAATACAGACCAACCAATCAAATTGACCGTTTATGTTCAAAGGGGAAATACAGACCAACCAATCAAGTTTACTGTTTACGTGAAAAGGGAAACAAGACCTACCAATCAAATTGACCGTTTAAGTGTAAGGGGAAGTACACACCATTGTAAGTGAAAACACAGACCAATCAATGTAATTGAACAATCGTGAGTGGGATGTTTGTTCTAGAAATCATGGCAAACAGACGTCCCACTTTGTATTCTGTTGGAACAGCAAATGGGCAATGATAGTGTTTGCTGATTTTCACAGTAAACCATCGACTTGTACTATTAGAATTACCTGGAAAGAATATGCATGTCATGGGTAAGATAGGGGCCCTTATATGGATTGGGAGGTAGCATGACGTCAACAAATTGTATAGTTTCTATAGAAACAGGTCAGTAAAAGAAAAACATCAAATAGTTGTACATTTTGTAAGTTATAAGCTATTTATGTCTATATTTTGTGTATTTATTATATGTTACGAATAAAAAATGACCTTAGAATATTTCGTGATATTTACTGCGTTGTGTTTTTGGATGACGTCACACGTTACCTAGCGAAGAAATGTCATTATGACAATAACGGTCACCTCATTACCAAACGATGACATTTACGTACAGTATGGCAAAACTGGTCACCGCGCTATCACGTTCTATGGTCTTATCTCAATACCAAACTCTTTGATACTTTCTTACTTAATGACTGTAATGGTCACTTCAGGCCCAAACTGAATTCCATTTACCTACATTTGTGTGTTAATCACCTTCCTTAGTAGCCCGAGTTTCCTCTGGCCCTGACACCAGACTTAGACATTTTGACAGATAGATGTCCGGTACATTTATATGTCAAACATGTCTAAGTCTGGTGTTAGAGCCAGAAGAAACTCGGGCTACTCCCTTAGCAATATATATATATATATATTACATTTATATACAGTATGAAAATTACGGTCACCTTATGAACTAGCCCGAGTTTCCTCTGGCCCTGACACCAGGGCCCGTATTCATGAAACCGTTCTTATGCTCAAGCATGGATTCTGTGCTGAACCTATTTTCTTGCTGCTGGCTTAACATCATGTTACACGAACAAAAAGTGAATTTAAACCATGAAAATAATATTCAGCCCTAGGACTCTGCCAAACTCTTCCACATCATTGACAGTTTGTAACTGTTCAGAATGTTTTCACTGGAATAAGATATATTTTTTGTAATTGTTTATTTATCGACGATTTTTTCATAATACATATAATCATGAAAAGAAACACACACACATATATGTTAGCACGAGATAACTTTATAATCTACTCATGCACAGGTTTACATTATACAACCATCATATTCTGCATATTTATTTATTAAAATATTTCCTCGTTCTCCTACCCCTAGATGATATGCGCTAAGAAGAATAGTTCAAACTTCCAAGCCTAGCATAGTATATGTATCACTGTTCACCAACACAAACACACATATCACAATGTGTACATGATCATTTGAGCACTGATATATCTACATAGTGGACACTAATACATGTTACTGCACTGTATACATTTTGACATATATAGAATATCTAAGTCCGGTGTAGGAGCCAGAGGAAATTTGGGCTACTTATCACCAAACTCATTGTTATTTACTTACAGTTTGACAATATCTGTAACTTCAGTACCACACTCTAGGATATTTACATACAGTTTGACAATATTGGTTACCCCACTTCCAAATTCTGGGATATTTTCCTTTATAGTATGACAATAATGATCACCACACAAGCACAATCACTGACATTTACCAAAAGTATGACTGTACAGAAATATAGATCAGTCTTCTATCAAAATATACCTACATGTAGCTTAATGCATATTGTATTTTCCCTTCCGTGTTGACGCCGTGGTGGATTTGGTTCAAATACTATTTAGAAAACAGTTGTTACTGAAAAACAAAACACACAACTTTTGTCATAAAAAGATGGTTACTTCCTGTATAGATCGAAAGAAAAAGTTCTCCCAACTGATATAACTTGACCGATACTCGCGGAAAAGTGCAACGTGTTATTTGCAAGCTTTGAGGAATAATTTGTATAGGGGTTGTCTCTCTTGATATAGAAAAAGTCTGATACCCTGTACATCCTCCGGGAATATAATGCACATTTTGAGGAAATGGCTGATAAAAATAACACCAGGATATTGCGATACCAAGGACTGACTTTCTCTACTCAATTGAATTTATGTATAAAAGTAGATTTAATAAACGAAGAGTTAATATCACGGAATCTAAAAATGTTATCAATAAATGTGCCAGCTTGGATAATGTATTAGCAAATCACATTAAAACCGAGATGGTTTATCTTATTTTGAATATATATTGTAAAACCAACGTTAATTTTAAAAAAATGTGATTTATATACTTACTAACGTATGTGTGTCCGTTATTGCAAACAAACAGTTTAATGTGTATGTAACCCTGTAAACAAGCATTTACATGGTTACGTACACATTGGACTATTTGTTTGCAATTACGGACACTCACCTCTGATATTGTTTATCACAAATTACTTCAGAAATAGTACACTCTACCTATTGAAAAAGAAATCTGAAGTTATTAGTGGAAATCTTGTTTTGATGGTTAAAATGAATCTAAATAATATTAAGAAATGTGCTAATTAGTGACTGGCATAATGGGGAAAAAACACTTTTCTCAGATAAGCCTTATTAGGAAGACAAGTAAGAGTATTATTATGTTTTGATGTTGACGAATAGTGATAAGACATATGCTTGATTTTGGAAATGTGCGAACTTAACTACCAATTAATTTATATCAATCCTGTTCGGTATGACTGCTTGACGCTTAGATTCCTGATTTTACCGAGATATTTAATCCATGATTCTAATATATGCATGACATACCGACCTATTTAAAAAAACCCGCCTCATTGCTGGTAAAGGATAAACTGTTTTTATGACAAGACCAAACTCAAACAAGAGGTTGGATCACCAACCGTTGCTGACATACATGTACATTGCTGTTCGTGGTAATCCGCACCTCCACTGTTGCTGACATACATACATTGCTGTTCGTGGTAATCCGCACATACACTGTTGCTGACATACATGTACATTGCTGTTCGTGGTAATCCGCACCTACACTGTTGCTGACATACATACATTGCTGTTCGTGGTAATCCGCACATACACTGGTGCTGACATACATGTACATTTCTGTTCGTGGTAATCCGCAACACCACTGTTGCTGACATACACACATTGCTGTTCGTTGTAATCCGCACCTACAATGTTACTGACATACATACATTGCTGTTTGTGGTAATCCGCACCTACAATGTTACTGACATACATACATTGCTGTTCGTGCGAATCCGCACGTACACTGTTGCTGACATACATGTACATCGCTGTTCGTGGTAATCGGCACCTCCACTGTTGCTGATATACATGTACATTGCTGTTCGTGGTAATCCGCACCTACAATGTTGCTGACATACATACATTGCTGTTCGTGGTAATCGCACCTCCACTGTGGCTGACATACACACAGTGCTGTTCGTTGTAATCCGCACATACAATGTTGCTGACATACATGTACATTGCTGTTCGTGGTAATCCGCACCTCCACTGTTGCTGACATACATACATAGCTGTTTGTGGTAATCCGCACCTACAATGTTGCTGACATACATACATTGCTGTTCGTGGTAACTGCACCTACAATGTTGCTGACATACATGTACATAGCTGTTCGTGGTAATCCGCACCTCCACTGTTGCTGACATACATGTACATTGCTGTTCGTGGTAATCCGCACCTACAATGTTGCTGACATAAATACATTGCTGTTCGTGGTAACCGCACCTCCACTGTGGCTGACATACACACATTGCTGTTCGTTGTAATCCGCACATACAATGTTGCTGACATACATGTACATTGCTGTTCGTGGTAATCCGCACCTCCACTGTTGCTGACATACATACATTGCTGTTCGTGGTAATCCGCACATACACTGTTGCTGACATACACATGCATTGCTGTTCGTGGTAATCCGCACCTCCACTGTTGCTGACATACATTCATTGCTGTTCGTGGTAATCCGCACATACACTGTTGCTGACATACACATACATTGCTGTTCGTGGTAATCCGCACCTACAATGTTGCTGACATACATACATTGCTGTTCGTGGTAATCCGCACCTACACTGTTGCTGACACACATGTACATTGCTGTTCGTGGTAATCCGCACCTACACTGTAGCTGACATACATGTACATTGTTGTTCGTGGTATTCCGCACCTACACTGTTGCTGACATACACAGATTGCTGTTCGTGGTATTCCGCACCTCCACTGTTGCTGACATACATGTACATTGCTGTTCGTGGTAATCCGCACCTCCACTGTTGATGACATACATGTACATTGCAGTTCGTGGAAATCCGCACCTACACTGTTGCTGACATACACACATTGCTGTTCGTGGTATTCCGCACCTCCACCGTTTCTGACACACATGTACGTTGTTGTTCGTGGTATTCCGCACCTCCACTGTTGCTGACACACATGCCGACACTGTTGCTGACATACATGTACATTGCTGTTCTTGGTAATCCGCACCTCCACTGTTGATGACATACATGTACATTGCTGTTCGTGGAAATCCGCACCTCCACTGTTGCTGACATACATTACATTGCAGTTCGTGGTAATCCGCACCGTGGTAACTGCACCTACACTGTTGCTGACATACATGTACATTGTTGTTCGTGGTATTCCGCACCTACACTGTTGCTGACATACATATACATTGCTGTTCGTGGTAATCCGCACCTCCATTGTTGCTGGATCACCAACCGTTGCTGACATACATGTACATTGCTGTTCGTGGGAATCCGCACCTCCACTGTTGCTGACATACATGTAAATTGCTGTTCGTGGTAATCCGCACCTCCATTGTTGCTGACATACATCCATTGCTGTTCGTGGTAATCCGCACCTCCATTGTTGCTGGATCACCAACCGTTGCTGACATACATGTACATTGCTGTTCGTGGTATTCCGCCCCTCCACTGTTTCTGACACACATGTACGTTGTTGTTCGTGGTATTCCGCACCTACACTGTTGCTGACATTGACATACATGTACATTGCTGTTCGTGGTAAGCCGCACCTCCACTGTTGATGACATACATGTACATTGCAGTTCGTGGAAATCCGCCCCTACACTGTTGCTGACATACACACATTGCTGTTCGTGGTATTCCGCACCTCCACTGTTTCTGACACATATGTACGTTGTTGTTCGTGGTATTCCGCACCTCCACTGTTGCTGACATACATGTACCTTGCTGTTCGTGGTAATCCGCACATACACTGTTGCGGACATACATGTACATTGTTGTTCGTGGTAATCCGCACCTCCACTGTTGCTGACACACATGTACGTTGTTGTTCGTGGTATTCCGCACCTACACTGTTGCTGACATTGAC